TACACACAGACACGTACACACAGACACACACACATGTAACAGATATTTATTTTATGTTTTTGACAAATGTTTTTCTCTTTGTAACCTACATTATTTTTTATTTATACAGAGGAAAATATTACCACCATGAAATGATAAAAATACTTAGACCTTCTAACAAAGCTCTCTTACTGTTCTTTTAACACATTTAGGTATTATCTGATATGGAATATTTCTGAAGATATTAAGTATAACTTTTTCCCAGAGGTTGTCTAGTGTCCCATTTGTTGACTAGTCCATTTCTTCTCAGTAAGTAGAAGTAACCACGTCATGTTCTTCGTGCTGATAACAGACATCAGCCTCTGGTAAAATTTTTTTCAACTGCCCTCTATTTAATAGCTGGATTAACTGATTTCTTTTTTTTTTTAAACATGTAAACTAGAGACCACAGTAAGTTTAATGTTTACTGCTGATCTACTCAGCACTATGTTGATACAATTTTGTTTCTTATTAGTTTAGTTTAAACTACACTTAGATTTGTTGTTTCTTTAAAACTGTGCCAGCTATGCTTGTTATTTTATATTTAATATTTATAATTATGCAAATCAGTAAAAGAAGAAATGGTGTTTTAGAGAAAATTAAATTGAATACTTCAAAAAGAAATGATGGGTCACTAAAAAACTGTGACTGAAGATATTATATATTTATTAAACTTTATTAATATGTCTATGATCCAAACAGTTCTAGGAGCAAGAAATGAAATAGTAGAAATCAAGGATGACTTTTATTGTATAAGAAAATCTTAACTACAAGTAAAACTTGAACCACAAAAAAGAAAAAAAAGTTGTTATATTGAGCTCCATTTGTTTTATGTAAAGAAGCTTATTTCCTAATAAGCCTTTTGATATATTTCCTTCTAAAACATTTTAGTGATGCAACCCATCTCTTAGCTTTACATTATAAAGGTACAGACACGATTAAAAATTTGTAAACAAAAACCTAAGTTTCTAGTAGTCAAAATATAGAGATTTCATACTGCAAGCTAATGACTGTGTAGACTTTTAGAACATGATGGGATATTTATAACTAGTGAATTAAAATACTGATCATTAACTACAATTAAAGAGAAAGTAAACCAGATTACTTTGCAATATTATCTATTGCTTTTTAACGACTTGAGAACCTAGTGACTTGAAACAATAAATAATTCTCATTTCACACAGTTTCTGTGGTCAGAAATCAGGGAGTGGTTTAAATTGGTAGTCAGGCTGTGGGTTTCTCGTGAGCTTATGATGACATCTAGGATGGCAGCCATTTGAAAGCTTGATTAAGGCCACAGGATACATTTCTAAGAATGACTTACTCATAGGGTGCTGGTTATTGGCCTGGGCCCTCAGTTCCTCCCCTTACGGGTTTTTCCGAGAGCTACTTGGGCACCTTTACATCATGGTAGCTACTTTCACTTAGAGCATGGCATCCAAGAATGACAGCAAGAAAGAAGATGAAAGTGTTTGATGATTTATAGGCCTCAAGTTTACATACCATTCATCCTGTCTACTGTATTTAATTCATGAGGTACAGCTCATACTCAGAGGTGGCAGAATTAGTTCTAACTTCCGTGTTACACTACATCATGTATGTGTGTGGATCCCCGAAGAGGAAGCGAATCACTTGAAATGTTTGGTTTCCTTTTAGGACACTGCTTTAGGGAAACCACGAGAGGTATTTCGACTTCCTACAGATTTGACAGCATATGACAATCGCCTTTGTGCATCTGTGCATTTCACGTCATCCACTTGGGTTACCTTGTCAGATGGAACTGGAAGATTGTATGTCATTGAAACAGGTGAACGTGGAAGTAGTGCTTCTGAAAAATGGGAGGTGAGTGATGTTTTTTTCTTTTTAAGATTATGCAAAGTCCAGAAAGCATATGCAAATTGGACTTTATTTATTTTAATAACACTTTCAAAGGCAGTCTACATGTACCTTTTTGATTTTTCTAATGTAACATTCTCTGTCTCAATTTAATTATGAGATACGCTTTTTAGAGAATGGGTGTTAACCACTCCTGTTTTGATCTAGAGTCGGTGCCATTGTCAAGAATTACATTTATTTTTTTGCAGATACGTCCTGAGTGTTTCATATATGTAAAGCACTTCCATGAGCATTGACAAAAGTTGACATTGCTGTCTTTTTCTTCTCTACACTCATGTTAGGTCTGCTCATATATTTGTACTGCTCTGGTTGTTTACCAGTGTATTCCCTTATAGTATAAAATCTAAGGACTAGTCTGGATTTTTTTTTTCTTTTTATTGAGTTTATTGGTACAATCCAGGTATACAATACAGTTACATTCATCATTGGGATTCTGTACCTTTACATAATAGGTCATGATTCTCATTTTTTCCCCTTGTCACTGCCGTCCTTTCACCCCCTCCTCCCCTCCCCATTTACAAACACTTTATTTCCATTTTTTCAGTTTCTCATATTTTTTTTCTCTCCCTTATTACCTTTCCCCCACCCTTCCCACTTTCCCTACACCTTTAGCCCTTTACTTCCTATTTCACATTATTAATTGTCTCATTAGGATCCTGTGTACTATTATAGTTTTTCACACCAAAGAAACTATTCGGTATTTCAGTTAAAGAAATCTCCGTATGAACATTAAAAATAGGGAATCCTAAAATAAAACTAAAAAGGAAAGTAAAAGAGAAAAAGCTATGATGTCACATTAAAATAATCCTTAATTCTGCTGATGAAAATGGTCCCTGAACATATTTAAATTGCTTCTTGCTCTTATAGTCTTACCTTATTCTTTTTTTTTTCATTATTTAGAGAATACTTTATTAGTTTCTGTAATCAAACCCACGTAGATATGACCTTACATATTTAGTACGATGTGTTACCCCTGTATACATGGAAAAAAATAAAAAATAAAAATGAAAAAAATTAACATTTCTAGACCACTATGATGGCTGTCCATTTCTGTACAATGCCAACTCAACACAGTAAATTGGGATGACTTTTTGCAAATTTGGCAGCACCGTTAAAGTTTCCCAAAATTCAATTTAGCAACAGCTTTTCCAGGTTCTGCAGTCATCTGAACAAAATTATAGACATTCAACACATTCCATTAAAACAAAACAAAACAAAAAGAAACAAAGAAAAGAATAATATCCAGAAAACAGCAAAGTTCTATTGCTGTTGTGATACCTAGCACCATTTTTTTTTATTAGCATCTTAATCATCATCTGGAAAGAGAACATTCTAGAGTAATATCACTAAATGTAGCTCTGATAAAGCACAGTCCCTACTATGTATCATAAAGCAGGTATAAGATATTTTACATTCATAGAGGTATGATACAGTACCGTCCTATGTCAATAATACTAGAATCAGTTTTGGTTTGAAATTTACTTTGTCTGCAGATAAGATTGCTGCCCCTGTTTTTTTCTGAGCTCCTGTCACATGGAGAATTGTTTTCCATCTTTTCACTTTCAGTCTCTGGGCTTCTTTTTGCACTAGGTGTGTTTCTTGTATACAACATGTTGTTGGATTTTGCTTCTTATTCCATTTTGCCAGTCTATTTCTCTTGATTGGTGAGTTGAGGCCATTGACATTGCTGGTTGTAATTGATATGTACTGACTTATTACATGTTATTGGGCTTTTGTTGGCTCTTTTTACTTTTTCACATTGTCCTTTTAATTTCTTGCCTTGCCTATTTGATTTGCTCTGTTGGGCCTCATGGTGTTGTTGCATTCATTGTCTTTTTCTAGGATCTTGTTTAGAATTCCTTGTAGTGCTGGTTTGCTATTCATGTAGTTTCTCAGGTGTTCTTTGTCGTGAAAGTATCTTATTTCCCCATCCATTTTGAAAGAGAGTTTTGCTGGATACATCAGTCTAGGTTGGAGGTTCTCTTTTAGTACTTGAAATATCTCATTCCAGGCTCTCCTTGCCCCAAGGATTTGTGTTGAAAAGTCTGCTTTGATTCTGATGGGCTTTCCTTTATATGTGATTTGTTTCTTTTCTCTTACTGCTTGTAGTATTTTGTTCTTCTGTTGGGTTTCTGGGATCTTGATTATTATATGTCTAGGTGTAGATTTTTTTTGATTGTAGCTAGTTGGGGTCCTGTATGCCTCAGTTATCTGAATGTCAAATTCTTCCCCTCTCTTTGGGAAGTTTTTTGTCATTAATTCTGTGAACAGCTTTTTTAAGTCATTTGTATTTTCTCCTACTACTTCATGTATTCCTATCAGTCTTATGTTATTCTTCTTTGCATCATCTAGGAGTTGTTGGATCGATTTCTCATGATCCCTTACTGTTTTTAAGAGACCTCTCTTTTCATGGTCACTGACTGCAATCTTATCTTCTATATCTGAGAGTCTATCTTCACATTCTTTTATTCTGTTAGGTACACTTTCTATGGAGTGTTTAATCTCCTGGATATCTGTTTGAATCTGTTTTATGGATTCCATTTCTTTCCTATGTTGAGTGTTTATTTTTTCCATTTCTTTCTTATGCTGGGCCTTCATGGCTTCTATCATGGTTCTGATCTCATCTATTTTTTTGTCAGTTTCTGCTCTAGAGTCTCGAATCACGACTTCCATTTTGCTCACTATCTCTATGGTTATCTGGGAAATTAGTTCTGTTTTGAATTTTTCTAGAGCCTGATTGATCTGTTTTGTTACTTCCTGTGCTTTGAGTTCAGGGTGTCCTGGTGTTTCACTATCGGCCTTTTCATCCTCATTTGCCCTACTGTTTGCCATTGGTGGACTGGAAGTCTGTCCTTGTGTCTTTCTTAAGTGTTTTCTCATGTTTACTTTTGTTGTTGGACTGTCCTTGGTTTACTCTCTGGTTTATCACCCAAATCTTCCTTATATATTTACGCCCTAGCTTCTGTGTCTCTAACGACCCACATTCTCATCTTCATAACATCAGAGAAACAGCTCATCAAATCATCCGCAATGCTTTATCCCACCTGATACAATCAGCAACACATTAAGATCCAGCACAACTTAGACACTGACCACCTGTGGTAGTCACTCGTCTATCACCCTTAAACCATTTGAATTAAATTGAAATCAAGAAGCAGTCCAGAACATGTCTACAGTGAACAAAATTTCAATATAGTGTACTTACCATTTAATTGCTCAGACGGAGCGAGGATGCAAGACCTCTGGTCTCAGTTAGCTGATGGCTGAACCCCATGACTCTGACTGACCTCAGGCTGCAAGGCCCAGATTGAGTTCCCCAATCTTCTGAATGGTTGAACTCCACAACATTTTATTACAGGTTTCCCCCGCCCTTTCTTTAAAGATGTTCAAAGTTGGGAACTCAGAAAAATACCCTTGATGACCACCTCTGCCTCTGCAGAATGGGTCCAAAGACTGACACAGGAGGTCTGAGAGTGCGGTGGGGGCACGACTTATGGGGGTTCAGGGGCGCCTGCGGCTACCTCCCAGCACTTGAGCAATGGCGGCTGGGTCAGGAGCAGGCGTGGTTCTTGAATAGTCTGGATTTTGATGCTAATAACAAGGAATTAGCTTTTCCAGAGCCTATTTTTGAAAGTAGAAGAAAATGATGAGTTATCAAATGAGTTAATGTTTCAGCTCTTTTAAATTATACTAATAAATACATGTAATACTACTACTCTATAAATCTCAATATTTTTAATTTGAGTAACTATAAATTTAATATTTTTAGATGTTATAAAAATATTTTTATCCATCAAGAGATGGCAGTAAATACAAGGCTTTAATTATGTGAGAAAAACCAGGGAGAGCTTACCTATTTTTCTAAGTTTTATGAAATGGTATACTTCCAAGTTGTAATATATTCAAAACACACAATAAATAACCATAATAACTGCTTGTTTAAAAGAGGTCTTGGGGCTGAGGATGTGTAGCTCAGTGGCAGAGTGCCTGCCTGGCAAGTGTGATTCCTCTTACCGAAAAAATAAAATAAATAAGAGGGCTTGAATTCACAGTTTCAAATATTCATTGAATGTTCTGGCATTTTCTACTCTGGCCTCTGTTATTAGCTTTAAAACCAAAAATTAAAACACTGTAATGTGTTTCAGGTTTAGATAGTTGAACAGAAGGAAGGTGTTTTGAAAATGGTAGATATAAAAACATAAATGAGAATTTATTATTTCACTTAGAATTCTGTTGATTTTGAGCAGGGAGAACTGACTCAGCTTACTGTCAGCTAGAAATAGCTGACCACAGCATCAGAGTCTGCTCATAACCATGAAATCAACTAGAAGAGGTGTATATGGACTCATCATTCTTTTGGTTTCTGTGTTCCCTTATCATACAGTAGGCCTTCAATAATTTTTTAATCACTTAAAAATTTAAGTCTATCTCATGCCCTTTGTACTATACACTGCTGTAATAAAATAAGCATCCTTATGAGAGGTTTTCAGTTAATAAAAGGGTTTTTTGTATTTGGAGGCAATGGGAGGAGAATGGAAATTTGGCATTAATTGAGGGAAAAGGGATACCATAGAATATTGGTCATGTTAAGGAACAATTTAGACAAGCTTTAGGACTTTGGGGAAATTGGTTTAATAAAAGGGAAGCTAAAGGTGGATGTGATTAAGGGGCATGCTAGGGTATAAAGAGGGCAATGATGGTGGCGGTGATTAAAGTATAGAAAATGAAATTAAAGGAGATAAAGAGGACTGCCTACTCAAGATGTGTCACCACTGATAGAGGCACTAGATTGCAACAGTGTCATAGTTGAGATGCCAGGCTTGTTGGGACTAGGAGTCTCTAGATCCCCTTTTCATTTACAAAAGATCTATCTCTCTGTTTTCATAAAAAATAAAGGAGACTAAGGGTCTCTGTATGACTGTTTTTACGGGTCTAGTCATCTTTTCCTCTAGCCTCATTCCATTTCTTCTTACTGAGTAGAAGGAAGAAAAAGGAAGCAATAAACTAGCTGCTTGTACCTGCCAAAATCTGTCATTTTCTCTTCTTGCCTTTAGTTTCCACTAACCCCCAAGCAAAAGCAAAGCTCAGTCAACCTATTTAAAACTGTCTTCATCTGTCATCTTGGTTTGGAGTATTTGAGGGCGTGTGTGTATGTTTATGAAAGTCTTCAGAGTGAATGCCTAAGGGCTACTATTTAAACAACTTGAGCAAAAGAGCTCAAACACAGAGAAATTGATGACGTGGCTCAATTTTCTTTATTAGGCTTTCAAGTAGAAAGATATATGAAATCTCTCCGTACAGATTTTAAAAGGGCTGACATTTTTAGTTAGGTTTTCTTTTCAACTCTTCGTGTTTTTATTTATTTAGGAGTTGTGTTTATGAATCAAGTCTTAAAACTCCCAATTAATGTTTTAATAAAAATGTAATAGTCCTTTAGATCTTGTCTTTATGGTATAATTTGATAGGATTCTAAGTGTCTATATTTGATTGGGTGGGGAGAACATCTTGAAGGTTATATTTTAAAACTTGTCAAATTATCTTTTAAATGTAAATGGGCTTTATTTGTTTTATTAAGAATTTAAGTGATTTGTTTTCTGATGCCTTTTATTTTCTTTGAAAACTTCTAGGAAATGAAAACAATAGGGAAAAAACTTACCTCCACAGGTGTGTACACTTGCACACAGTGTCTAGAATCTAAGATGAAGCAGAAGTAAATCATGTGTGAGGCAGGAGAAAAGATGGAGAAATGAACATTGACCTGCCTGTGTTATTTCTTTCAGTGTAGAGCACTTTTTCCCCTTTAGAATTATTTTCTAGAAGATTATTTTAAGTCCTTTTTCTCCTTTAGATGCTGTTTGGATGCCTTGTAATTTTCTGTTTTTAAACCAAGGTTACTGATTTTTTTTCCTCTTTTTTACTATTACATACTCTTTTAAAGTTCTTTCTTCAAGGAATATTTATTTAGATGCAGCCTATATTTAAATGCTCATTTTACGTTTTAATTCTAATAGTATTCAAAATAATTTTGTTAGGATTTTATGTGTTCTTCCTGTACTGTCTGTTCATGTAAATGTACATTTTTGTACATCTAATTATTTTGTAGATTGTGTTCAATGAAGAGCTTGGGGATCCTTTCATCATAATTCACAGTATCTCTTTGCTAAAAGCTGAAGAACATTCGATAGCTACCTTACTTCTTCGAATAAAGAAAGAGGAATTGGATATGAAAGGAAGTGATTTCTATGTTTCTTTGGAATGGATCACTATCAGTAAGAAAAATAAAGGTAAAATAAAGTGAAATTCTGAATTTCTAGTGGTACCACCATTTACCAGGTTTTGAAATACAAGGTTATCCCTGTAAATGCTGTTTGCTTTTCCTTAGGTACTGTGTTATGGTTGTAGCACCTGCTCCTCCAAGTACGATAAATATCTATAGTTTGTCTTGAGGTCTGACTTATATAAAGCTATAATGTTTCCATAGCCAGTTATGTGTTTGTAAAATTGCAAATATTACATAATCTTTGAAGACTTTCATTTGCACATTTTTAATATAGCCAGGAATATACACACAAGAATCATATATATAAAACCCAAGTGTAAATGAACGATAAACTATGGTTCAATTTAAATGTGGATAAATAAGAATACCAAGACAGAAATAAACACTTTAGTTCACTGAGCTTTGCCTTTTGCTTCTATTCTCCATAAAACTTCCTTTTCTCACCTGGTGTGAGTCCATATGTAAAAAGTCCTGAAAGTAGAGCTACTTGATTGAACCTGTCAGCTTTTAACTTGACATTAGAAATTACTTTCTCATGTATTAATTAAGGCTTCTATAATGGTAAGAGTGTGTCCTTGGCCTTTCTTTACTTCTTACTGACTCACCAAGTGTTTTTGTTGGTTTTTTTTTTTCAGTATTTGAGAGCCAACAGAACTTTTTTTCAGTTACTTTTTATTAACTTACTAAATTAACTTACATCTCTACAGAAAGTTAGTTTCTTGGAATACAGCTAGTTTATGATTTAAGAAAGGATATCAATTTTTTTCTAAGGTCTTTTCCTTTAATTCTGAAATAAGCACTGCCACCAAGATATATCTTATGTTCCTATAGATATGAATGAAAATCATTAGTAAGCTTATTAAATCGTCTAAATTTGTTCTTTGAGGTATTCAGTATGATTTATTTGTTCTTCCCTGGACTTAGTTTCATCTGTGGAAGAGCACAATAACTTAACACTTTAGATTAATCATTGAAAAGTTTTTCTGCAAAAGACCAGATGGTAAACATATAGTCCGTGTCATAGCCTTTTAACCATGCCACTGTGGTACAGAAGCAGCCATTGACAATCCATGTGAGAATGAGTAGAGCTGTGTTCCAATAACAGTTTGTTTATGAATCTTGACCTTTGAGTGTTCTATGAATATTATGCATATTTAAATATTCTTTTGACTTTTAACCATTTAAAAATAAAATTTGTAATTCACGGGCAATGCAAAACTAGATCTAGATTCAACTTTGGCTCATGAGCCATGGTTTGCATACTCCTACTTTAGAAAATAGATGATTGAATTTTTTAAATTACAAATATAAATCACTAATAGAAATTATCATATATATTCCTTCTCTCTTTTCCCAAGACACTTGGTTCTGTACTTTAGCACAGTACACAGTGTCTCATCAAATTGTTTTCAAACACAGCATCAGTCTACTTTGAGTCTTATCACCTCATCTTCATCTGTGTTTCCCCACCCCACCTAGACATATAATTAGATTCATCTGTCTTTTTCCTTCCAAGATTGTAATTATAGAAACATCTATCCTCTTTATGGTCTCCTTTATCATTCTTAATGTCTTGTTTAGCTCTTAGCTGTTAATTTTTTTTGTTCTTTTTCCCCTCTTTTTTTGTTTGGTTTTTTTGAGGCAGGGTCTCACTATGTAGTTGAAACTGACCTGGAACTCATTATGTAGCCCAGGCTGGTCTCAAACTCATTGCAATCCCCCTGCCTCGGCCTCCTGAGTGCAGGGATTACAGACGTGCACCACCATGCCCAGTTTAATAGTTGCCTCCTTTTTTTTGTACTAGGGATTGAACCCAGGGCCTTTGCACTGAGCTGCATCCCTCTCCTCCCCACTGCTCTTTCCAGAATTTGTTGAATGAAACACTGAACTAATTATATATAATGTAGTCAGTTGAAATTGAAAACATACATGCAATAAATATCCCTTTTATATGTTAAGCATAGTCGTTTCTGAAAAATTTACTTACTCGAATCCACTGTTTATCACCTATTACTGTCTGTTCCACATATGTTGAGAAAAATCCCTCTATAAAATGTATAGCACCCAAGTTTGGGTATTCATAGGACTGTTTGTCCTGCATGTATCTGTAGAGGAAGCGTAGTTTTTAGTTCCTTCATGAAATTACTAGCCTGTTCTTAAATATGTATAGTTTGAATGTGTGAGTGCAGGTGTTTTAGAACAAAACAATGGCAGATGTTTTAGAACAAATTACATTATTAGATTTAATTAATAACTATAATACTGGGTTGACTTTTAACTACTCAGTTTGAAACTTACAATTACAACCCACTTTACAGAGTAACAGTGTAAGTAAAGATATGGACTCAGATGAAAGTATTATTTAAAACAAAATAATCCTATCTTCACTGGAGAATAAATTTAGTTAATCTAGCAAATTTGGGGGATTACTTAATTGTTTATATCTTTAAAATTACAAACGCTATTTTAAAGGTGATATTTTAGGTAAGTCAGTCACTTTGAATATCCAGAGTTCTCCTATCCACTGGAAACTTATGCGATGGACATGTTTTATATGTGTACTGCTTACTACATATAGTAGCTACTAGCCGTTTGGCTGTTGAGCAGTTGAAATGTGACTAGTATGCCTGAGAACTTGCATTTTAAACTTTGCTTAATTTTAACTAAACAGCTACTTGTGGCCATTGGCTACCACATTGGACAGCAAATTTTATGAGACTAAATATTTTTATTTTATTTTACTTCCTCTCATTGAGTTTATTGGTACATTTTAGGTATACGGTACAGTTACATTCATCATTGGGATCTTGTACCTCTACATGACAGGTCTTGGTTCTCATTCTTTCCCCTTATCCCTGCCCTCCCTTCACCTTCCTCCTTTCCCCATTTACAAACACTTGATTTCCATTTTCTCATATTTTTTTCTTTTCCCTTATTACCTTTCCACTACCCTTCCCACTTTCCCTACACCTTTAGCCCTTTTCTCCCTATTTCGCATTGTCAATTATATCATTAGGATCTTATGTACCATTATAGTTTTTCACACCAGAGAAGCTATTTGGTATTTACACATGTGACTTATTTATTTCACTAGGAGTATATCCTCAATATGTATCCATTTTCCTATGAATGACTCTTAATTTCTCATTCTTTATGGCTGAGTAGTATTCCATTTTACAGAAAAACCACATCTTTATCTGAGACTGAATATTATTAAATAGGGATTTATTTATGGAAAATTAGATTGTAAAATTTTTATTCTTATGAAAATTTTTATTTTGAAAAGACAGTGTGCCTTTTAATAGATATGTATCCATTCCTATGAATGACTCTTAATTTCTCATTCTTTATGGCTGAGTAGTATTCCATTTTACAGAAAAACCACATCTTTATCTGAGACTGAATATTATTAAATAGGGATTTATTTATGGAAAATTAGATTGTAAAATTTTTATTCTTATGAAAATTTTTATTTTGAAAAGACAGTGTGCCTTTTAATAGTCGATTTAGAATACTTAAAATTAATATTAAGCGTAATGTTTTGTTCTAAAATACTTTATTTTCTTTAGATAATGTAAAATTTGAAATTACTAAGCGTCGTATTCTTCGTGGAAAGTCAGTGCCACATTACGCTGCTATTGAGGCAAATGGGAACAATCTAATGATTATTTCCTACAAGGCCTTCACATTTGTTCCTATTAGTCAGGAGTTTGAAGAAAATATGGATGAAGACATGTCAGAGAAAAACAAAGGTAATTTTGTGTTTAATCTTCATACCTAGAACTCCTCTGTGTTTATGCACATACATGTTTATCTTTTCTGTTTTGTCTTCTCAGATTATGGCCTCTACCAGGGCAGGATAGGTACTTAATTTTTCTTTATTTTCTACTGTATTTTTCAAAGAAATCTTTTGTAAAATATACAACCTGAATAGTGTAATCAGGCTTAATTTATTCATTTTGCAATTATCAAGCCAGGCATGATAATGCATACCTATAATTCCAGTGTTCTGGGAGGCTGAGGCAAGAAGATGTTAAGTGTGAGCCCAGCCTGGGCAGCTTAGCAAGTTGGCAAGACCCTGTCTCAAAATTAAAGTTTAAAAAGGGCTGGGATTATAGATCAGTGTGAAGTCTCAGCATTCTGTCCCCAGTATTGTATCAGAAGGAAAAAATTGTAATTATCACAGATATTTTATTATAACTATTTTTAGTAAATTTTATATTACATAATGATTAATTTTATCATGGGGAGTTTATAAGTGTACATGGTACATTTTTTTCATTCATCCCTACCCCTCTTATCCCTGAAAGTCAGTTTGCTTGATGTTTAATAAATATTTGTTTAATAAATGCCAAATAAATATGATAGTATTGAATATGGTATTCTTTTGAGATAAGCTAAACTACTGTACATGTTCTTGTCTTATTAAACTGACAGTTCATTCCTTGAGGGCAATATCAGTAGATTTTTAAAATATTGAATGAATAAATAAAGGTCATGTTTTAGGATGAGATTAACAAATCTTTAGAAGAAGTTTATATTTATATATGAAAGATATATATTCTTTTAAAGCTATTCAAGAGAACATGTGCTGATTATATTTCTGATTCCATAGCTGTATATAGCCAGAAAATATTACATTTATTTGAAATTTTTACAGTATTTAAGAATACATTCTATTCTTTGGGTCTCCTTTTTCTTTTTTTTTAATGACTTAAAAATTAGTTTCCCTCTTTTTGTAGTTTAAAAATGAATTATTTGCAAAGTATTTAAAATATTAAAGAATTAAATACTTTAAAATAACCCCAGGTTTATAAATGTATGCACCTCTCAATACAAAGCAGTTGTGCTTATTCGCCTAAATACCTTTGTGTCAGTCTCTTAATACATAACAATTGTTTACTCATAGACGATGGGCTTTTTTGTTAGGTTATGTTAAGATCCCTTTCCAAATATGTACTACCATTCTGTCTTAATTATGACATTAAATTCTCCTAAAACTTTTGCATAAATCCCTAGATGACATGCTCTTTTAAACTCCTTTAGTGACTAGGTGCAAAGAAATGAATAAGTGAATGCTTGGACCATTAGAACCATTCTGCCCACATAGCCAAGGACCGTGAAGTTCTGAGACACATTACAGCTAAGTGAAACACAAGTGTTTAAATCACTGTGAATACAACTATTGGTTTTCTTACTGATACCTTATATTATAACTTGAATTTACCCTTTTGTCACACAATTTTTACTTCAAAGGAAAAGTTATAATTTTTAGAAATTACAATAGTTTGTTAACACACTTAATACTTTTCTGAGTAATGCATGCTGGTTTTGTTTTTCTATAAACCACAAGAAGACTGGTATTGTCTATTGGATAGTTGGTATTGTTAAATAATACATTTTAAGACCTAAAGCATAATCTCTAAAGGCACAAATAGACATTGAGAGCAACTGACATTATACTTCACTGAGGAGATTTTAAAACTCCTAACCTTCCCTTTAGCCTGCTTCCTTGGATTTTATACTCAAGGCTCATGTGATTTTATAGTCCCTTCCCATCCTCATTGTCTGACAAGTTATCAACTGAGTTATTATTATTTGTAAACTGCCTTGCTAAGTTATGATGGAGGCATATTTCATATTCTTTGCAACTAGGAGTCTGGTTGAATTGAATGTTGGTGTGGTGCTACAGGAGAAAGAGGGAAAAGGAGAGGAGGGATATAAGGAGGCAGAGAGGGAACAGGAATAAAGAATTAATTAAAGAATTAATGTCCGTGTATTTTATGAATGCTTGTCATGTGTGTAATTAGGTAAGCCTGGAAGAGGAAAATGTCTAATACAATTGCTGGAGCTCTTTGAGTGAAAATTCCCCAATGCAGTCTGTGTGTTCATTTGAGATTCTTGTGGATTGGTGTTTATTTTTATATTCATAATCTCTAATTTTGTATGTTTCAGTCTCATTTTTATTATTACATAATGCATTTATCCTTTCCCAGTGGAACCTTTGTATTACTGGCGACAGACTGAAGATGATTTGACAGTAAGAGTACAGCTTCCAGAAGACATTACCAAGGAGGACATTCAAGTAGAGTTTTTACCTGATCACATCAGCATCATGCTGAGGAATATCCAGGTTTTAGAAGGAAAGCTCTACTCATCTATTGATCATGAAAGCAGTACATGGATAATAAAGGAGAATAATAGGTATTTTTTATAGTTGTTTTATATTTGAAATTTTTTGTTATTTTTTAAATTTTTGCTTTGTACAGTAGTTGCATCATGTATGAATATACTAATTCTGTTTGTATTCCTTATTATTCTTCCTAAGGTAGGTTAAAAGTGAAATTACTACATCAAAGAACATAATTGTAGTTAAGGTTAAAGAGATGAGCATACATAGTTATTCTCTTGCAGTATATGGTATAGCAGTGCTTTTCATTACTGGCTCTGGATATGGAAATAAGGTAAAAATAGTTACTCTGTGCTTTTAAAGTTTTGCAATAAAAATAATTTTTTCTGTTGAGTTTAATTTGCTTACTAAGTAACACATAACTGTTCTTTAAAGTTTAAAATGCACTATATGCAACAAGGTAGAATGAGAAAGCTCCTTTCAACCCAGGCCTACCAGTCCCAGGTCCTTCAAGGCCTTACAGCTATTGTTAGTTTGATTCCAGAGATACTTTGTGTATCTTAGTAACATGCATAGCTTTCTTTTTTTTCTTTTTACATATATCATTTGTACATCTTGCTCTTGTTCATTTTAACAATAAATCTTAAGATCTTTCTATTAAGAATATGTAACACTTTTATGCCTTTGTTGTATATTTTTTTAATAAATTTTATTTTTCCCATCCCCCCCAAGCCTGCTCCCCTCCCTGTGTATAAAAACTTTGTTTCCATTTTTTCCCTTCTGTTTTCACTTTTTTCTTGTCGCGTCCTTCCTTTCTTCCTCCGCCCTTGTTCCCCTTCCCATTTGAACACTTCATTATATTTTACTGTATTGATTATTCCATCATTTAAAAAATGGGTTTTCCATTTGTTGGACATTTAGATTGTTTGCAGTCTTTTGCTACAGTAAGTAACTATATATATGTCATTTTTACATGTGTAGGATTAGATATGAAGGATAAATTCCTGCAAGTGGAATAGTTAACATATTCTTTAATAATTAATATATTCTTTAATTAGGTCAAATACATTTTGTTTCTTATGTAAATTGGCTGTTTATATTTCTTTTATGAATTGTGTGTTTTAGGACAGACACATACAAAGTACATGATAAATTAGATTTCAACCAAAAATATTTTGCAAATCAAAATTGAAAATTTTAGCCCTTCTAAGAATATATTAAGAATACAAAAAGGTAAGGCAGGGACTGGAAAAAATATTCATGTTATTCATATTAAACAAAGGACTTGCGTCACATACTCAAAAGGAAATCCAGTCTTTTTATGGTCAAATGATTTTAATAGGCATGTCACAATAAAAATTAAATGAATAGTTAGCAGACATATGAAAAGTCATTATTAGTCATCAGGAAAATGATTACCTACTTTGTTACAAAGCAGTTCTATTCCTCAGTGTTCAACCATGGAAAATGAAAATGTATATTGGAAAACAAAGCCACAAAAGTTTGTAGAAGTATATTTAGAACCTTCACTAATAAAATTTTAATGTTCATGAAAACAAAGGTAAGTACACGTGTTATATTCATATATTCAAAACTACTTTGCAGACTAAAAGAAAGAACTATAGAGTATGTGGAATACTCCTGTAATCCCAGCCACTTAGGAGACAGAGGCAGGATTTTGAGTTCCAAGGGCAGTTCCAGCAATTTTGTGAGACCTTGACTCCTACAAAATAAGCAAAAAAAAAGACTACTGCCAGTGGTGGAGAACCGATGGCACCCATGTTATTGTGCATGTATGAGGTGTTTTGTTTTGTTTCATTTAATCAAAATGAAAACCTCAGTATTTAGGCTTAATTGCAGTGTTGGTGCCTTACAATAAATAAGTGGATTTTGGGTTGCTCTTTGGGCACTCGGTCTCTAAAAGGTTTGTCATCACTGCTCTACGGTATATAGTAGGATTGACTGGAAGAGGGTCCAGGACAGTTCCTGGATGCGGGAAATGTTCAGTATCTTCATTGCATTATACAGGTGAATACATTTATTAAACTCAGAAAATTCCACAAATTTTTGAATTTTGTTTATGTTAACTTCAATAAAAGGAATAAAAATATGTTTTAAATTGATTAATGAAGTTTTTTACGGAACTTTGCCCCAATGACCCTACTCCCATCTTCTTTGCACATATCTTGTCCCAGATAGTTCACTCATCAATTATTTGAGTTCATTAAATTTATTTCATTGTAGATTAAATCTTAGTAATTACTGTGTTTGTAAGTAGATTAATGAATAGCATTAGACATTTAAGTTTTAAAATGATCAGAGTTCAGCAGAAATGGTTATTTGGTTGATTTAAAGTGCATTTTTTTTGTTTGAATTATAGCATCACATTTTGATTCCTGAATATTATGGTTCAGCATTAATATCACCACGTTTATCAGTGATGTGGAAAAAACTACAGTAATATTTTCAATACAAACTGAACACCCATTTTTATAGGAAAACTGCTTCTTGTCTCCACACTCAGTCTGTCTTTTCCATACATTAGCCCAAATTAAGAGCAACTGCAAGCTGGACACAGTCCACACACACTTGCAATCCCAGCTATTCAGAAGGCTGGGCAGGATTGCAAGATCAAGCCCAGCCCTGACAATTTAACAAGACCCTATCTCAAGTACAAAGAATTGGGGGTGTAGCTCAGGGAGAGACTATAGGCACAGCACCATGATGAAATCAGTCAATCTACAAAACCTCCAAAATGGAGAAACTCCTTTAGTTTAAGCTCTTCTAGGCAAAATGAACCCATAAAACATAGAAATGATCTAAAGACTTTAACTGGAATTTCTGGTTGTAATTTTTTTTCCCCAGTGTATTAAATTGTAGTTTGGGGACATTTCTCACCTAAACATGATCTCATATCATAAATGAGCAAACCAACATTGAAATATTTGCAGTTAATTTGATGTTCTTAACAGCACTTAACTCTGCCTCAATTTATTATTACATGGAATGTGTGTTTACTCTTTTTAGAAAGCAGCTTTCATATGACACCCTGGTTTGTTTATGGAAAAGCTTCTTATGGTTCTTGTGACTTTGGCACTTTGTAACTTCACACATCAAAATGACTTGTGGACATTAAATGCCACTTAATTCAGCACTAATTTTTGGTTGCTTATTTATAAAAATTTGCCTGTGTCTCTGAAGAGAGTCAGACACAACTTTACTAGTAAAGCAAAAAGTGACATCAAAGTATCTTCCACAGGAGATCGTACTGGTAGGTGGTTGAAAACATTCTGTTCTACCCATTCCAAAGTTTCTAAAGATCATACTGTATCTTGGCTGCTGTTTTCTATTTCTAAAAGTAGTTGTTTTAAAATTAACAAGACCATCAATTTCAAGTCCAGCTTGTTTTTGTCAAAATATATATTGAGAATACCTGGTGTCAAAACTCAACATTTATCATAATATAGGTTATATTTCCCTCTATCCAAAACCTGAATTTTTATGAAACATTCAAAGAGAACATCCCAACAGCTTAACTTCACTTTTGCTAGTTCAGTTTTTTTTCCATAGTTTTCTTTAGTTTGGGTACCCTATGGAGCAATATATATATATATATATGGTTCTTGACTAGCAGCATAGGACCCATGTGAGTCTATTAGCACAGTCTACATCATGCGATTCTAAAAGATAACCAGTTCAAAGAAAATTTTTAATTTAAAAAAAGATATCCTGATTCATGTTATTAATGGAGATATTTAATGACTTGGCTACTTTTTTTAGTATATGAAAGATAATTACCTGAAAGTTTCTTTATATTGTATATGTTCACATATTCTATTTCATTATGTTTATATGAATGTTAGAGGTTTCAGGATAGCATTTGTAAAAGAGCAAACCAACTAAAACATGTTGTTAAATCTAAGTCATCAAGCAGTAACCCAGTAAAAATCCAGGAGAATAGCTGGAGTTCATACAAATTAGTTTCAGTATTCAGTACATGAACATAGGCCAGTACTGTTTTTCTAGTAGATATGAGGTCCTTAAATATTACTTTGTGTTACAAAAGATAATATACCATAAAGTGTAGGTGGTATAATTGGTTTAGAAAATACATGTTTTGTACTTGATTAAATTATTCATATTTCTAAGTTCCAACAGTTTTCTTTCTTCCTTTGGGAGGATTTGTTAAACTAGTTTATAATTTAATCTGTATGGTATGTGTTTCTGTTTTGCTTGACTAGCAGGGTATAGTGCTAGTTTTTAAATGTAGTAATGTGAGGTGGGTGTGGTGGTTCATACCTATAATCCCAGCACTGGGTAGGCTAAAGCAAGAGGATCAATCATCGTGGGTTTGAGGCCAGCCTGGGCTATATAGTGAGTTCAGGGCCAGCCTGAACTACAAAACAACAGCAACAGGCTTAAAGGGCTACATTATCAAGGTGTGCAAATTAGCAGGGACTCAGAAATAACTTGTTTGAACTCTTTCCAACTTCTGTAGTTAGTAGCCAAGGACATGTTTATACATTCTGGCCACTGGGTGAAAGCTCTTTAAAAGTTATTTTTGTATGTTTTTTCAGACAGGCAGAATAGTACAGTAATGAAGAACATAGATTTGCAGCCAGACTGCTTTACTAGCTTGTGACCTTGGCAAGTTACTTAACCTCTCAGTGCTTTTTTTCTTATTTGTAAATTGAGTGTAGTAGTAGTAGTACCTACTTTATTTGCTTGTGGTAAGCAATGAATGAGTTAAAACATGTCAAACTCTTAAGACAGTACCCTGGGATATAGTAAGCATTAGGGAAATAAAAGCTGCTGTCATTATTTTATTATTGTCTTCATCGCCAAGATGAACCTTTTCCTTAGAAAAATAACTAAATCTTAGCATTATTGATTGTGGTGGTAATTTTCAGTGCTAATGATAAGAATTCCTAATACATAAGAGATACTATTTTGCATAGTCTCTTAAAATAGTACTTTAAAAAAATTTTGAAATGGTGTAATTAATTCATGAGGTGATAATTACAGCCTTGAAAATGAGTGGCTGGTAAGTTTACATGTTCCATTTGACAAGTATGATAATACTTATTGTATTCCTGTAATTGTTTGCTTGCATTTGTGTTCCAGAGCATGGGTTAAATGTGGCACACATGTACCAAAGATGGCACATAGAAAAGTTTTCATTGCTGTCAACAGCTGCCACCATCTCACTTTTCTGTCTGTCGAAGCAGTGGCTGCTCGTGAATCATTTCATTTGTGTTTTTCTCCTATTCCAAAGGAACATGGGTCACAGCGTTCTTTTCGCATGGTCTGCCTTGATTCTGCTTTTTTTCCTTTCCTACCACCTTCGTCACTGACTTCAAGGGTTCTCTGACATGCTCTTTTTAGTGCATTTAGAATTTCTTTTAATGACTTTATACAAAATTTTATTTTAAGTAAGTAGAGACCACATTAGCATCTTTATTCCTTTGTTAGTAAAGTTATTTTTTCCTAATGCCTACATATTTTTTCAGTCCTTTAGAATCTGTATTTTAAAAATTAACAGTTCTATTGATTTAACCTGTCTGATCTTTCTATTAATCATACATTATTGCTATTAGTTTATGAAAATAAAGTCTTGGCTCGGTATACCAAGAGGTACACTTTAGTTCTAGATCCTTTCTTTTATACTCCCTACCCCCAATTTCCCAATGCTTTATAGATCCATGCTGCTTCTGTTTCTGATACTTACATTTAGTAACACCAGATATCTGGACTGCAGTAAGACTGAATGTTCTCTTCCTAATCACTTCTTTTTTCAAACTATTTGGTCCACCATTTCCACTAATACTTAATTATTTGTTAATAAATCTAGATTATTTACCTTTGAGTTTTAAGTTTTGTATCACATGTAAAATTAAAGTGAACAAGGTTTTTGATAAAATAGCTGCTGGATACGAGGAGGGTAATTTCTATATAATCTGCTTCTTATTGAGTGCATGATTTGTATATTTGCTCAATGTAACATCACATTTCTCACTTAAACTTTTAGCTTGGAGATTTCTTTGATTAAGAAGAATGAAGGTCTGCCATGGCCAGAGGTAGTGGTCAATGATAAACAAGGGGAACTTGTAAGAGACTCAGCCCAATGTGCTGCAATAGCTGAACGTTTGATGCATTTGACCTCTGAAGAACTGGTAAGCAGTTGCAATAGCAGTATGACTTCCCAAGAATCCAAAACTATGCTATGTGAGGATTCTGACATATTTTTTAAACATTATTTTGACACTGTCAATATAAAAGGTACAGATTAGGTACCATTGACTTAATGAATATTTTAATGTGGCTTAAAAGTTCTAACACTATTTTAATTTCTTACACTATGTGAATTTATTTCCTACACTATATGAATACATACATATATATTTGAGTTTATTGAGTAGGACATGTACTTATATATAGGTATGTATTTATGTATCTCTGTCTACATATATTCTCCTTTAGAAGAATTAATGTACCTTGACCAGTGCTAACAAGGCCAAAAATCATATTTTACTATCTACTGCTGATAATGTACTTAGCATAATTGAAATTTTCTAAGTGATCTTGAAGAATCACAAGGGTATATATGTGTGCACTGTATATAATAGTTATTTTCTGTTGATAACTTCTTGTAATGACCATATAGGACTCATCCATGAGGTTTAAAATGTTCCCACACTGATGACTTCATAAGATCATATTGAGAATTCGAACAAACACAACAGCTGTGCTCCAGGATGTCAGTTACATGTTCATTTACCAAAAATTATATATAATTATTTATTTCTTGAATTATTTACATTTTGAATTACAGTAATGAGGAAGACTAAACAATTGTTTATCCCTTAGTTATAAAAGAAAGAATTGATCATCCAAGGTATTTGTTATAGTAACAAAAAGCTGATCAAGAACATTAAATGCTATACATTTCCTTTAAAACCCTACTTTAATTTCATTCTTCAAATTTTCAACCTATCTTATATACTAATAAATGTTTTGCTTCAAAAAAAATTCCATTAAAGATTGATTTGAGGACTGGGAATTTAGCTCAGCGGTTCGGTGGCCAAGTTCAATCCCTGGTACCCAAAAAAAAAAAAAAAAAAAATTTGATTTGACCTGATCTTGGATTTCAGCTTTTTCTTGGCTGATTTTTTTCCTTGCTTGTTCGTACTTCACTTTTCGTATATGATATGTCAGTGGAAAACCTAGGATGTTTACAAGGGTTCTCCTGCCTCAAGCCCTAATTCTTAATTTTCATCCTCCATGCATTTTGATAATAGTCATACTCAGCTTTTCAGCCTCTAATCTGATGCCTTCTGCTAATCTTTTTCCCACTTAGCTTGGAATTAGTATATTCCTCTTGGAAAACAGCCTGGAGCTATTCCTTTTCTCTGTAATCTTGTCCTAAGAACTGTCTGCCTTTGATGATAATTCTAAACATTAAACATTTGGCCTTCTGTCCCTAACATGGATATTTGGAACGAAGAGACTTTCTGTATTCCACTGGACATATACAGTATCTCCTTAAGTCAGTGAGACAGAATGGCACTAAGACTAGAATTGCCTTTTCAACCAGCTGCTGCAACCATTATTCCACTGCTATTTAGATTGGATCCAATAGCCACCGTTAAATAGCTCCATATCCTGCCTGAGACAGGGACATATTTTGATCACATAGATTCCTGCATACTCCTGCCCATTTAGTTTTACAGAATCTCTCAGGTCACTTCATTAAATTCTCAATAATGTATTTATTTTGGCAGACTAAATGTATAGACATTTGATCTGTTGTAGAATTCTATTATATATAGTTAATGTATAGAATTTGTTGTTTTATTAATTTTGATATTACTGTGAGAGGGATATAAGATCAGGAAGAGATCCTCTTATTCAGGCAAGGGCACATAATAAAATTTCTTTTATGACTCCATTTATCTCTCTTTTGGGCTTATTATTAGCCAGACTTCTATGTTTTTGTTTGGGTGCCTGTTTTTGTATAGATTAGCAGTTGTTGTAGGGTATACAACTTTATCACCATTTTTTTGTCCAAAAGAATATTATATCACTTTACTTAAAATTTAGGAACTTTACAGTATATTTCCATCCTTCTTTGTATTATTGTTCATACATTGTATCTCCATGTTATAAAAACTTCATAAAATATCATATTTTAGCCTTAGTTATCCATTTCTTTCTTAAAGAGATTAAAAGGGAAAAAAAGTCTCATTTATCTCTATACCTGTCATCTTTGTTCTACATTGTTTTGTTGATTAGAATTTTATCTATTTTTTTTCTTCTCTGAAAAACTTCCATTAGCATCACTTCTAGTGTAGGTCTGACAAATTCTCGTAGCTTTTGATTGTCTGAAAAAATACTTATTTTGGCTGGAAGTGGCACATGCCTGAAATCTCAGCTACTCAGGAGGCAGAGACCCAAGGATCACAAGTTCAAGCCAAGCCTGGCCAATTTAGGGAGATACTGTCTCAAAATTTATAAAAATGTAAAAATTGAGGATATTACTCAGTAACAGAGTACTTGGCTAGTGTGTGAGGCCCAGGGATCAGTCCTTGGGACCATAAAAAGCAGAACATTTAGCTTGTCTTCTTTTTTTCCATTGTTATTTTGTTATATATATATATATATATATATATACATACATACTTTATATTAGCACCCCCCAACTTCAAAAATGCTGCATCATATCTTAGCTTTCATAATTTGTAATGAAAAGTCAGCTGTCTTTGATATCTCTGCTTCACCTTACATAATATACTTTTTTCTCCTCTGACTTCTTTTAGGATTTTCTCTTTATTACTAGTTTTCAACAATCTCGTTATTGTGACTTGTGATCTTTGTTTTTTTTTTAAACATTCCCACCAGCTTAGGCCACTGGTGATACATAGATGGCTGGCCCATTGGGCAGCTTGTACCACTACTGGTACAAATGGATTTAATCACTTTTATCAGTCATTTTACTAATAAAATTAATAAAAGGCTATCTCATGGGACAGTAGTGTATGTAACACCCGTGGGGTCAAGCTATCAGCCAGGAAGACATGAATTATGGTCCTATCATGAACATGTTAAAAAAACTATTATGCTTAATGTTCTTTGATATTATTGAACTCATATAATTATAGTTTTTAATAACATTTGAAAAATTTGGGGCCTTTTCATTTTTTTCCACTTTTCTTCCAATTACTCATGAGTTAGACTATTTGATATTGTTCCACAGGTTACTGAGGTTTTGTGGTTTTGTTTTTGTCTTTGTCTTTCATTTGAGAAAGTCACTTTCTCCATTTCAACATCAGTGGTATTTACTTCTGCAATGTCTAATCTGTCAGTCCCATGTGTTTTGTATATTGTCTCATTGTTTGTATTTATTCACCTTTATATTGTTGAATGTACAGAACATGTTATAATGGGTATTTTAATATCCTTTTCTGCTAACTCCATTGTGTTATTCTGTTTCTCTTTTAATTGTTTTTTTATTGGTCATGGCTCTGGAATTCATTTTTAATTATTAGTATAATTGTAACATTTCAAAGGATAAGTAAATCCATTTCCCTATCATTGTTTATTTACTTATTTATTTTATTTTCTGGCTTAAGAATCCAAATCCAGATAAAGAAAAACCTCCTTGTAATGCTCAAGAGTTAGAAGAATGTGATATTTTCTTTGAAGAGAGCTCCAGCTTATGCAGATTTGATGGCACTACATTAAAAACTACTCATGTGGTAAGTCCTAATAATAGCATTTCTAAGAATTTCTGAAGAAATAGGAGTTACTTAGATGATACTTGCCTGATGATACATATGTTTTGCAGAAAATAGCTTGATTGGCAGATACTGACTAATAAAGCTCATCAATCCATAAAGTAGTGTGAGACCCAATGAAACAGTGTTTTATTGTTTAGCTACTACTGTGTAATTGGCATTTAAATTTCTTTTCTGTGTCAATTTTTAATACACTCCAAAAGGTATATTAACTTCATATCTGCTTTTTACATTAAAGAATAAGATGTAAATATTTCCACATTTTAAAAAATCCTTGGTTAAGTGGTTGAATTATATTATGATGTTGTTGGGGGTATATATGTTTAGTGATCTGCACATTATATTATAATTTTTTAATTTTAAACTTTCTTGATGCTTTTTTTTTTTGGTACCAGGGATTGAACTCGGGTCCTTCTTGATGCTATTTTTAATTATTTTTCTATGAAATGTTTTCTATCTTTAGGGCTATTTTTCTAAGAAAGAACTAACAGAAGTCAAATGAATCAAACTAAACCATCTCTGACAAAGTGATTTCTACTTTATATTCTCATTAGTAATATTTTTGTTCATTGCTTGCTTTACTGCATCTTTACCTACACTTTCAGTTTTCTAGTGTATAAGAAACAGGATCTTGCTTTCGTCTTTTTTGTTTTTTTGTTTTTTGTTTTTTGTTTTTTGTTTTTTTGGTACCGGGCACTGAACTTGGTTCTTTGTGCTTGCAAGGCAGGCCGCCAAACCACTGAGCTAAATTCCCGGCCCTTGCTTTTGTCTTTTTATTAAATTTTTTTTTTTTTTTTTTTTTTTTTGGATACTGGAGATCAAACTCGGACCCTTGCACTTGCAAGGCAGGCACCAGAACCACTGAGCTAAATCCCCAGCCCTATTAAAAATATTCTTAGCTGTTTTATATCTACTCTTTTTTTCTTTTGTGAACAGTTTTTTCAATTATTTGTCTTAGTATGTTTTTTACTGATCTGGGTAACTTATTTTATACTTGGACATCTCCTACATTCTATATCAAATTATTTAATTTTTTCTTTCTTTCCCATCTTGGAATATTTTTATTAAATTCCTTAACTCATCTGAGATATTTTTCCTTTTCTCTTTGGGTTTTCTTGTGTATATAAATATTTTTCCTTAGAGATACATTCTATTTAAAGCTTAGAGAATTGTCTATCAGTAGCAAATAGTATTGCCTGAAGACTTGGTTCAGACACTGCATTCCAGGATTGGTTCTCATCTTAGTAGGTCTGGATTTTTAAACTTAGAATTTTATGACATACTCTTGATTAGAGGAATATGTAATCATTATTTAATACAACACACCCACATGAGTGTCATAAAGTTGTTTCTTTGAGAAAGGTCTCCATAGCAGATCAGTGATTAACTGAGAGCTGTGCATGCAGAAAGTAATGATTCAGTTCCAGTAAAAGCAGTAGAATAATTTGATCTTTTGTTATTCTGTTGTTGGACCTCTGAGTCTTTGACAAAGGGTTTAAAGCCTTTGTTTTCAAGAAAGTTTTGAAAATTGCTATTATATTTGGCCTAGTCTTCCAGAGGATGGGGAAAAGAATATTCTAACAGAATTCATGGAGTCAAGATTAAAGACCATTTGAACTTGACTTGCTAGATCTCAGTTCCAGCTCAAAAACTCAGTGGTTTAAAATATTTACCAGCTTTCTTTAACTGATGGCAGGGAATAATCAACAGACTTTAAAATGAACATTTCTAGATTATTCCTATGTAGACAGATGAGGTAAAATGGCATTGGACCAGTATCTAGGCAAAGCTGTACCAAAATCAAGTACTTGCTCTTATAATTAATTTTTATGTCTGCATTGCTTTCCTCACAAACCTATAAAACCAAAAAGTTCTTTTAAAAAAAAAAAAAAAAGCACATGGACATCTTGTCACAACATGTCTCCAGCTGTCTCTGATTCATTGTTTTAATACATAATTTTAGACATCTCTTGGTAACAATCATAATTTTTTTTTAATTGCTTTAATTTCACCTTAGATCTCTGCAAATTTTCCTGTACCTTTCACTTTTCCCATCTTACTTTGAATCACATTTCTATTTTGAAGAGTAATTATTTTCAGGAATATCATAATATCTAATCAGAGAACTGATTCCAACCCAGATCATCAAAGCCTTTTAGGTTTCATAGGAATTTTGTTTCATAGATACTTGCAATTCTGACATATCCCATTGATGATTCCTTTAATCATGAGCACATAGGGCTATCAATTAACTGCAGTCCTGAGGGGACCTAGGGCCTGTCACTGGGCTACATTCCCTAACTGCCCCCACCTTTTAATTTTAACTTTGAGACAGGATCTTGCTGAGTTTCTGTGCTGCCCAGGCTGGAATCCAACTTGAAATCCTCCTGTCTCAGCCTCTCAGAGTGCTGGGATTACAAGTGTGCACCACCACACCTAGCTTTTTAACTTTTAAATAATAGTGCAATGTTTAATCGCTTGTTGAAGCCTAATTAGTTCTAATTTAAAAAAAGATTATCTTTGTTTCAGCTGGATTAAATTTAAGAACAAAATTTATAATGTAAGCACTTTGATTTTTCCATTAGAAATTTTTATAAATTTTATAAATGCAATGAATTAATGTATAAACATTGTTATTCATCTATAAGTAGAATAGTAGAAGAAATAAAAATATAACAAGTCTATTAAATAAATATTATAATTTCTACACTTGATTTTAGCCAAAAGGCTAAGAAGTGATTAGTATTTTAATTTATATAGAATATTATGTAAAAATAAAGATCAACTTGATCAAATGTAGTTTGCCCTAAAATTTCATCATATATCCAAGAGGATACCATTTGACTTGTCATTGGAGGAAGAACATAAAGAAGATTGTGATATTTTGGATGTTTCAGTGATATATTACTTTAGGAACTAAAGTATATATTTTATGGAGAATTTTTATTTTAGATCTTACCCCATTTGTCTTTTCTTGATATCATTTACTATAACTTCAGATAATTTGAAATTATGTGGAAAAGTCAATATATGTCCTCTAGTTTTAGAAAAAAATAAAAGTTCAGAAAATTATATTTTAAATGATGCATTTCTGAAAATATAAATTCCCCTGAAACGAATGGATGTTTGCATTAAAATTTGTGATTTAGAAAAGAAAATGTTAAATGAATGTATGAAACAGCTCAATAAAAGAAATATTAATAAATGTTAATAAAATAGAGTTAATAAGAAAATCAAATCAGAATTAAAATAGAATTAAAGATAACCTCTGGCAGTAGCACCTTGTGACCCTCTGGTGGGGCCACCTCTTTGTTGCAGAGCAACAGAGGAACACAGAAGCAGTAAAAGACTCTCTGGTAGGCCTGGCCCACTGACCCAGTGCTCTGAAGGAGCCCAGCTATGCCAACACAGTGATGTTTGTGCCCGCCCCACACACATGAACAGGAGAAAGAGGGCCTCTCTGAGGCTCCTAGATGAAAATTGCAACCCACTAGAAAAGTGAAGAAAATCTAACATAAAGGCACACCACACCACCATAATTGGAAAGTCGGAGGGACCAGCATCTCACATTGGAATCTGGTCTAATTTCAGGGGAAAGACAGCTGGAACCTGCAGTAGAACCTTGCAGAGTTCTACTTGGGCCTTGCAGACAGAAATCAGCCTGTACTTCAGGGGACAGCTGCCGGCTTGCTTAGACTAATTAACTTAGATCTGCACATTCCTGCCCATGCTGTCTATTGTGTCAACAGAGGCAAACCCTGAAGAAGGCTATTTCTATTTGTATTTTTTATTTTCAAAGTAATATTTTTTCTCTTCTCTTTACTCATTTAAAAAAATTTCTTTTTCTCAAACTTTTTTCCTTTTTATCTTCTTTTTCTTTTTTCTCTCTCTCACTTCCTCTCCCACCTTGATCTTCATTACTCTCCCTTTTTGTTCCTGTTCCTATCCTAATTCAAATTTATTTTCCTTCTTTTCTTATCTTTATGCTTATCTCAATTGCCAGTAATTTTAAAAGAAAATGATTATAGTCTCTAGCCTCCCTATTGCTGTTAGTTTGTTCTGTTCTTGTGTATATTTTGTTCTGTCTTCTCTTTTCAACAGCTTCTTAGAGTTTGTGTGATCTTCCTGTGTCCTGTGACCTCACTTCTAACCTTTCTCTACCCTATCTATCCCTCCCTCCCCAACTCCTTCTAAATCCTCATCCTGAAGGGTAAAGTTGCTATATTGAAGAATATATTCACTATAAACATATTTTGGTCTGGTCTTCAATTTTGATTTAATTCACACAGTTAAAGGTGATAGATTAATAACTACTACAAATTGTCATTTTCTAAGCTATGCTTGATGCTATTGTGTTGCTGGTTGTATCACTTGAGCTAAGGTGTTTTGATTGATCTAATCAGTTGTCCTCCCTGGTATAATGAAAATGAGATTGCCTCAGAATCCTTTAGAGACTCAAAACCTAAAATCTAGAAGATCGAAATATTAACCCAGGAATTAAACCAAGGACAGTACCAACAGCAAAAATGGAAATGAGAAGACATTTAAACAAGACACAGACTTTGATATCACCAAAGATAAAATCAGAATATAAATTCTTTTTAGATGCACATGGGTCATTCTCCAAAATGGACCACATGCTAACTCATAGAACATGCTTAAGTAAATACAAAGGAATTGAAGTTATCCCCTGTATATTATCAGACCATAGTGCAATTAAACTGAGATCAATAACCAAAAAAACCGCAAGAACTTCACCTACACATGGAAATTAAATAACACCCTGCTGAACAACCATTGGGTCACAGAGGAAATTAAAGAAGAAATTAGACAGTTTCTACAATTAAATGATAATACCAGTACAGCATACAGGAATCTATGAGACACAAAGCAGTTCTATGAGGGAAATTCATAGCAGTAAATGTCCATACTAAGAAAACAGAGTGAACTCAAATAAACAA